TGATTTTATACTTTTAATTAAAGTTATATTTTTAATATTTGATCCTAGAAATCTAAGAGCTCTTGACTTCTGTCGTAAGCGAGTGTTACGCGGGTTTTTATCTGTTTAGAGATCGAAAACACACAAAACGTGTGTACGAAAACATACAAAAGAGATCGTGTCTAGTAAAACTCGCGTTGATAACAAATGGTAAAGAAGTCGCTAAAATACTCGAACAAAGTCACAAAATCAAAATCAAAACCAGGTTTTATAAGCAGGTTAAGTAAATTAAATTGTGATATTTTTATGTACTGTCATACAATAAAAGTAATGGCGATTAAACTATGGACATGGTAAGTAAGTTGTATGTAATAGAAGAAATCTTTTCTCTGCAAATTCTGTAATCTAAAATATTTTGGATCCCTCAACTGATAATTTGTCTCTCAAAGTTTAATTGTATGAATTTTACATCACACAGATGAACAATAACTTGTTGCGGAAGTGAATGTTCTAGGATATCGTATAATACTTACATGACATTTCAAAATACACGTAACTATCTAGCCAGTACATTTGTTATTATTACCTCGGACATCCTCATTCACCTAAAACAGTGTACGAAAACCAGGGACCTGGCCCATTATAATGTAATATAAATAATGCTTTCGTCCTCGACTGGAAAGGAAATTATAAACTGCTTTGACTAGAGATTTATTTATTTACTAAAACTTTGTAGGTCTCTTAAGTATTTTATCATCGTTCTCTGTTTTTTGCTTTAATATCCAGTTAGCCGAAGTCCAAAATGTACGTACTTAGCTACTATAAATAATGCGTCCGATTATATCTCCGTTATTAGTTCCGCCTGTACCATTGTTGTCACTGCAATCATGTAACCACTTACATTACTAGTAGAGATACTAAATACTATGCTAAATATAGCTGATTAGACGAAATGTTTTGAGAAAAATGGAATAGATTTGTATAACTTTTTTTTGCAGAGTACAATAATTGTAAAACATCCTGAATAATTAAGGAACCACTGTTTGTTGTAATGTAAGAAGCAACTTGTTAGCAGAGCGCCAATTGCTTGTGAAAATAAACTTAAAGGCCCTAGAGTTACACCCTGTGGTACGAAGACCATCTAGAGAATGTCTCTTTAATAAAATCCCAGAGGCTCTTTTATCTCTACCTTTTAATAAATTTAAGAAATGTATTAAAGAAAAGCTGTGTAAAAAGGCTTACTATAAAGATAACGATTACCTAGTTGATAAAAGGGCCTGGGACTAGGCTAGACAGGCTACTTCTAATTAATTTGCGATATTTGTTTTAAATAAGTGTTGTTTGATGATTTGCTATTTTAAAAGAGTTTTTTACGCCGGCTTTTTCTCTCGGCCTACACCCTCTTTGCCGACGAGTAGGGATGTCTACCGATTCAAATTTAATGACGTGGGATAAGTGATACCTGTATCTTATATTCCATAAAAAAACATATTTTATTTTTTATTTTAATGTTTCTTCTTCGTAATTATAGGCAACATGAGGTAATATTACTAACAGAGGTCTAGTCTTTGAGTAAATTTTGCTTATATAACTGATTTTACAAGAGACACGATGACCAAGGCGAAATTAGCAGCTAATGTTTCCTGCAATTATGTCAAAATTGTCATAATGCTTTCATTAGTGCCTTATTTTCAACTGAACTTGTTAGAAGGCATTGTTAGATAAACTCGATAATTTGACACGCAATTTTATAATTATTTTGATTACAGCAATCAAATGCGGCTTTCACATCAAATTGTCACTCTAAATTAACATATCAAATGCTGTGGCGTTGGTTTTGTTTTTTAATATTTATTTTCTAGCTAATTCCCCGACTGTTGTCGTCGGAGGTATTAAATAACATACGTATATGTACAACTTAAGTAAATGGTTTTGGTAACCCGGATGATTAAGCACTACTACCTATTTCTTTTAACAACTTTTCTATAACATTTACAGCAAATTATTAAAAGTAATTATTATTTCTTTTAAGTTAGTCTCTGTCACTTTTATTCCCATTGCTTCTTCAGTGTTATACCTGTCGTATCCATACATTGGACAGTCGGTCAGGACAAATACAACTTCAGCTGAATTGCTACAAGGACAGGCAGCACTTTGTCTAACTCTGAACCTGTAAAGATAGGACGAGAATCCACTGTGACCTGTCAACATCTGGGTAATCAATCCCGTTGGTTTTATTTGTTACTTAACTGTGGCTTTGGTTATAAGTTGCCGATATGTTTAAGGAAAATAAAGGGTCCAGCTTGTTCAGTACGTCAGATTCGCATAAATTTCAATTACTATTTCCAGCATCGAAGTTAATATCGAGTATTCGTACTACCTAATTTGGACATCGACAGAGCTACGGATATTAAAATAATTACGAATTATTCTTTCGTCTATGTAGATGACTTAGTCTTCTCATTATTGGAATCGATAAAATGCGGATGTTTTTAAGTGTAGAGCTCATGAGCGAGTACATTGCTGTCTGTTCAAGAATTAGTACTTCCTTTTTTGACTCCGTAAAGTAGTGGATATTTATTAATATTTGTTAACGCAAAATATTACTTTAAACTGTATTTTTATTTTATTTTTATTTTTTTATTGGACAATTCACACCAATTGACCTAGTCCCATGCTAAGCTGGTGAAGCTTGTGTTATGGGTACTAGGCAACGGATATACATAGATATTATAGATATACATATAAATACATATTTAAACACCCAAGACCTAAGCACAACACCAAATGCTCATCACATCATGTTTGTCTCAGCCGGGGATCGAACCCGGGACCCATGGATCCGCAGTCAGGGGTACTAACCACTAGACCAATGAGCCGTCAAATATTGCTGGCAGGCTGTTTAGTGATTGATTAAATCAACAGTCTTTAACCTATAATATTAAGCGGAGTTATTAGACAGGAACAGTATAATTTTATTCAGTTTTCCTCTAGTCTCGGTGTCTACGAGTTGGACGTTGGACTTTGCACTTAGATTTTTCTTTCTATGACCGCGATTACTACTTCTGATAAAAGATTGAAAAGTCGACAATAGTATTAATTTTAATCTAATGAAATATGAGTTCAACAGGCACTAAATAAGATTTAAGTTGGTGTCTGGTAGATAGTACCGGTAACCCTAGAGCTGGTGCTTTCATCACTTAGCATTTGAGTATCGCAATACAGGGAGAAATACAGCAATAATTCATTTTAATTATCTATTTATAAATTTTAATTATTGTTATGATTACTTTGTAGGTTAACAATATTGTAAATACTGTATTGTGTGTTGAAAAAAAAACTTAACTGTTTTTTAAATCTATTTAATAAAAAGTTCCAATCTACCAGAGGAAATGGAAATACAATTTAAATTTTCGCAACGGGAATCGAACCCCCCCAGGCGTTATGCCATTTTACGAAGCCGATTCGCCACGAGACTTACATAATTAATATAAAAAAGGTTTTATTCCTACCCTTTTTATTCGTAAGTGAATAAAATCAAGGATAAACTATATGAAATTTTATAGTCAGGACCACCGAAACTGATAAGGGTTTGTATAGAAACGTTTAAACGCATAATAGAATAATTATTCCAACAAAACCTTAGAAATTATTGAAGAATAATTTCGTGCCTTACGTAAGCTTACCGAGTAACTTGAATAATTATTACAATGATACTATACTCATAACGATGATCAATTTCGAATTAGTCGTCGCAAACTTGGCATCACGTGGTACTAACTACAATGCTAACATTGGATCGAGTTGAGAGGCATGCTGCTTTTAATATATAAGAAAATCCTTGGTATCTTCTTGTTGGCATCATTGAATTCATTATTTTTTTTAAATGTAGTGCGTATTGCGCTTGCGCTTGATTTAATATATATTAAAGGTGTTCCAGGCCTTTTCAATAATTACCTAAACATTAAACTTTTCAATGTTTTCGTACCCATAATCGAATGTTATGCAGCGACTGGACACTCATTTTATTGGGTGAGTTGGCTGCCTTTGAGGGAGAAGTATAGTCTTTTTTTAAACAGTTGGAGGTCGTATCTACCAGGGAAGACCCCCAGCGGGAGTCGATTCCACAGTTCGCTAGTTCGCAAAAGAAAATGTCTAGAAAAGCGAATCGCGGAAGACTTCCAGCCGTCAAAGTGATGCTGATGAAATATTGAGTTACGGTGTTGTAACAAGGAGGGTTGAGTTTGATATTTCCTATTTATTATATTAGTCTTGATAGACAAATATTCAAAAACAAATCCCGCTATTTGTGTCAATTCATGTCAAGAGATCGCATTATTTTTGTATTTTAATAAATGCATGAATATTATTGTGCGATAACCTACTTAGATAATTCGTAAACAAAGAGAACTTATTTGATATTTCTTTCATTTTAAAACATATTTGGTTTAAGTACGGACAAAAAATACATGAATTTACATCATTTACATAATTCGGCATTTAAATCATTGATTTCTATCTATCGTCTATTGTCGGAAGGTATATATTTGTGAATAATATTTATTCACTTTTCTTCTCTTTAAATATTTTTTATCATAGAACAGCTCATCTGATGGTAAGTGATTCCGCCGTCCACGCTCTTTTCTTGAAGGACCCTTAGTCGAATTGGTTCGGAAATGCTTCAGTGGGCAGCTGGTTTCACATAGTGCGGCAAAAATTGCGCGACATAAACAACTACTTAATATATAGCTCGTACGAAGCCACGGACTGTTTAAATTCAGCTCTTACACTATACGCTTGACCCCTGAACTATACATAGAATTACTTAAATTGCTACTTGTTTGTTAATACATGTTATTTCTTAACCGGTTTGACGGGTGTGTGGTCATAGTTTTAAGTTGAAAAAAATGCGTGTAACGATATTTAAAATATATATTTAGCAGTTTGATATAAGCACTGTGTTAAACCTTGGTTTATAAGTGAATCGGTAATTTGTATGCTCAGTGACTTGTCAGTTAAGCATGGATAAAATTGTTTTTAAAATTAACGGGAAAGAATATAAAGGTAAGGTTTTTAAGAAATATCCAGTCCTTAGACAGCAAAGTTTTTTACCAAACGGGGTCATATGTGTTTAGTTAATGCAGCTCCTTACGAACGTTGTGTAAAATAAAACATGGCGATTAAAAAGAGTGGCGGAGAGTTTATTGCCAGTTCTTCTCTTCCGTTCTACGCCCTTGATTTGAGAACTGGCACTAAATGTAAAATTAGAAGCTTTAATTAATGTGTTTTTCTTTACTGACAAGTCAATAAGTGTACAATGTGTTACCCATATGATTAAATGATTTTTGAATTTGAATTTGAATGATTCAAACCAGTAATAACACCTAGTTTGAAGAAACTGACTACTAAAGGACGCTTTTAATCTATTTTTAGTACGTAAGAAAATATGTTTCCGTGAGTCGAATCAGCAAAATCTTTCTAAGATTTCGTAAATCAATATTGTTACGTAAATTTTTAATTATTTTTTTATTACTATGGTTAAGAAAATTGGAAATACTGATTGTTATGTTTAGGTACATGAATATAATGATATTATTTGGTTCTATATATTTGCCTGTAGGAGCAAGTGATAATCACCTACATTAGAATAAATATCCATTAATGTACAGGCGTGATTTAAATTCTTCAATATACAATATACATATTACTCTAACAATATATGTTCAATCGATTAAAAATATATGTAGTTTCTTCAAGAAATTTTTTGAATTATTTTCAGTCGGTGGCGAATATCCTATCGACTTTACACTCAATGAGTTCATAAGAACAGTAGCAGATCTACGTGGTACAAAAGTGATGTGTCGAGAAGGTGGTTGTGGAGCGTGTATCGTCGCCGTGAAAGCCTCCACGCCGCCCACTAACGAAATCAAAACTTTCGCCGTAAATTCTGTAAGTTGAAGTTAATCTTGGAATAAACAAGGTATTCGACTTGTTTTTCATATCGTACTACGTGCGGCGCATGTGTGTATATTGAAGGAAATAAGCAAATATTATAAATATATATTGTGATATTTTTTAATTTCAGAAAGTTTAATATTATTAATAACATATATATCAATAGAATAGCAATATTATTTAATAAAGGATTCGTCATTTTGGCGCGAATCTAAATGAATAAAGTATATAATTCTACATTTGCGCTATTGCAGTTCTTGGTAGTTAAAATAATATAATCTAGTATTTTTGTTAGGGGGAAAACGGATAGGAGGCTCATCTGATGTTAAGTAATACCGCCACCCATGGACACTTTCAGTGCCAGAGGGCTCGCGAGTGCGTTGCGGGCCTTTTAAGAATTGGTACGCTCTTTTCTTAAAGGACCCTAAGTCGAATTGGTTCGGAAATACTTCAGTGGACAGCTGGTTCCACATATTGGTGGTGCGCGGCAAAAACTGCCTTAAAAAACTACAAACAACAAAGTATCGCCAAATGGACTTTTTAAAGAATTAACGTTACTAAAACAAATTGCAGTGTTTAGTATCAATATTTTCCTGCCATGGTTGGGAAATATTAACAGTTGAAGGTATTGGAAACAAAAGAATCGGATATCACGAAATACAAAAACGACTTACAAAATTTAATGGCACTCAGTGCGGATTCTGTACACCTGGTTGGGTCATGAGTATGTACAGGTACAAATATTTTATTATTTATTTAGAAATTACCATTAAAAATCTTGAAAATAACTAGTCATAATACACATAACACACATTTATCACATATAACGTCACCGACAATGCAAGAATAATCATACTATTATGTTTCAGTAATCATATAAACTTATATTATATATTCATTGATTTAAGCTCTTTAATTTTACTTCGGCCAAAATAAAGCGGACAGACACACACATATTTAAACGTAATGTAAGAAAAATCACTGAAACATACGCAATCAATAGTGCCTTCTTCGTGAGAAATTCATTTTAATATTCTTTATAAAATTTGCAGTTTATACGAATCGAAAGGAAAATTGCTAACCTCAGCAGAAATAGAAAATTCATTTGCAAGTAATATATGTAGATGTACTGGATACAGATCGATAGCTGATGCTTTTAAGTCACTTGCTACAGATGCTAGAAGTGATATTAAACAAAACGTTATTGATCTCGAAGATATTGCTAATTGTAGAAAATCTAGTAAATGTGAAGAAGTTTGTGAAAATGGATGGTGTGTAATTGGGCCTGATACTAATGTAAAAATTGAAATTGATTGTGATGGCCATAAGTGGTTTAGAGTTCAGACACTCGATGATATATTTAAAGCTATGAAGAACGGTGACTATAGGCTTGTAGCTGGGAACACTGGGCAAGGTATTCTTAAAATATAATTGTAATACTAACAAAAAAAAATAGAAAATAATAAAAGACTCAAATAGAAGAGTCTTTCCTCCAACTTTGAATTGTTCCCTTTGGAGTAGAGATTCTTGAGCCGTGGGGTTCAAGTGAAATGGCGCCAATTAAAATTTGGCCCTTAGATATACCTGACCATCTACTTCCTGCTCAAAAAAAAATCCAATACAGCGAGGAAATTCTGCCGCGTAATGGTACACTCCAAGAGACCAAACTTTAAATTTGTTTTGATTTTCTTTGTAATAACTTTTATTATTACTTTGTAGGTTAAGAATATTCTAAATACTGTATCAGAGAAAATAAATAATTCGGTAGGTATGCAGTTTCTTTTGCAATTTTGAATATAGAAAAATAAATGTTATATTTTACAAAGTATTGTTGAGGGTGATCATTTTCATTTGATTTTAATTATTAAGTCTCGTTGAGGTTTCGATATAACATAGTATGACGATATAAACATTTAGTCACGCTTGAAGTTGTTTTTGCCCATGTTATTTATTTAATTAAGGTCACATATTATTTTGTGAGTGTCTTTGCGAATGGGGTACATTTGTGATTGTAATTATTGAAGGTAGAGTATTGGTCATAGTCAGTGTAACCTTTCTCATTGTTCCTAGATTTATTCTTGCCTTATCCTACGACTGACAATTTTTATCCTTTTTCATTGAGTCAAGGATATACGGTATGTATTCAGGCTTCACTTTGTTAAATTTTTCAACGGAACTTTAAATATTGTTTTTTTAACGTAACTTTACTTAAAAATTTACTTTATGAAAACAACAATAATGATTAATTTCTTAATACAAGTAACGAAAAGTCGAAATACATCCAATTTTCCAATAAAAGGTACATTTAACAAGGACCAAAGCTTTTAAATTGATTTTAATTTTCTATTTATCCATTTTTAATTATTATTATTATGTTAAGAATATTTTTGTTAACATAAAGCATTTTTTTTATTTATAGTACCTACCTAAATAGAATACTGTCCGTATAAATAGTAATAATTAATATTTGTTTAGAATATTCTTAACCTACAAATTAATAATAAAAATTATTAAAAAGAAAATCAAAACAAATTTAAAAAGTTTGGTCCCTGTGGCAGTACCTTAAACGCTGGCAGAATTCCTCGCTGTATTGCGATACTTATTCGTTGAGCCAGGAAAGTACCAGCTCTGGGGTCACCGGTACTATCTACTAGGCGCCAACTTAAATCTTTACTAAGCGCCTGTGCACTTGAACCCTACGGCCCAAGAGTCTCTACTCCAAAATCGAAGTTGCTTGTCCGAAGGAGGTGAGACGGGGCAAACATAGCACACACACAAGTAGCATCCCATACTACAACAATCCCATAATTCAAACCATCCAGCCGTTAAGAAAATTGTAAATACTGTATACTTGATTGTTAATATGAAATATAAATTTGTTTAGGTTATTATATTTAATAATAAAATTTCCGGGATCACACTTTTGCCCGTAAGTAGTAACGAAATTTTGTTTCAGGCGTATACTCATATGATAACGACGCAACTAACTTGATAGATATATCAAATGTTGCCGAGTTAAGGGGTTATGATCAGGAAGTTAATTTAATATTAAAAGCAGCAATGACATTAAATGAAATGATGGGTGTATTCCTTAAACTTTCGGGAGAAAACGAAGACTTTTCTTATTTAAAACAACTTTGGGAACACTTAGATCTTGTCGCTCATATACCAGTACGAAACGTAAGAACAATTTTAATTATTTTATATTATTCTTTATCGACAGTGTAGTCAACGTTTATACGTTACACAAATAAATGAGTGGCGCGACAACCTTTTTAGGTATTACCTCAGATTTTAATATCTATTTCAAGATCACTTGTCAATCAAATAGGCAAGTAGGTGATCAGCCTCCTGTGCCTTACACACGCCGTCGACTTTTTGCGTCTAAGGTAAGCCGGTTTCCTCACGGTGTTTTGCTTCACCGTTTGAGACATACGACCTCTGCAGGCAGGGATGAGTATCGCAGGCGCACAGGCAACGTATATAAACATTAATTGTAATTTAGAGAATCGGGATATTGAAATAGTTTTGACCGAAGCTCTGGTGGGGACTATTGAAACATTAAACGTTTGGTAATGACAAAATTTAATAAATATATTTCAGTAGCGCTATGGGTCTCAGATTGCATTTGTTTCTTTGAAATTTTTAATATCTAGTCAAGTAGGTGATCAGTCTTCTGTACCTGACACTGATTTGATTTGATATTATTTTTTGGTCACCGAGCAATACAGCGTTCAATTAAGACATATCAATTGAATACATAGATATAAATATTATATAGTCTGGATTAATGTCGCGTGACAATTTTGCTACTTGGGGAAATGCATTGCGCATACCCTTCCGCGGCGTGACTGCTTAGTGTAGGGTTATGTGGGGCTACCTTTAGTGCATATCCGCTAAAACTTCAAGGCCCCACCAACAATCGCCCTAGGCGAGGTCGCGTATTCATGACAAAAGGCCAACCCTTATCTCACGCTGTTACTATTGTCTTACGTACATTATTTCAACATCATATGAACTTGATACTTCCTTAGCAACGTCTTGCACTGTGTACGATTTCGTTAATGGAAAGTATTTGAAATTTGTTACTGGGAATATAAGAGGCTTTATTATTTTCAGACTGGAACTCTCGCCGGAAACTTATACATGAAGCATACTCACCCCAGTTTTCCGTCTGATCTCTTTCTGATTTTTGAAACAGTGGGTGGAATGATAACTATTGGTAAATTTAATAAATTTAAGTATTTTTTTAAAACGAGTCAGTCAGTCAAAATTCATAAAGAATTTGACGTAAAAGTGTACTTGTATAGTTTTTTGTATGCATTACATTAGTAACTTCCAAGATACCGATTCCGATGTTAATATGAATGTACCAATAAAAAACACAAATAATTTAAATAGGCGGTAATACTGCTAAAAGGAGTTGTTCGTTGCTTTGGGTTCATGTAAAACAAAAACTTAACATCTAAAATCGGGAACACAATCGTTAGGGAATATCAGCTCTGGATAGAATGGCATTAATTTTTTTTTTTTTTTTTATAGAACAGGGGTGCAAACGGGCAGGAGGCTCACCTGATGTTAAGTGATACCGCCGCCCATGGACACTTTCAATGCCAGAGGGCTCGCGAGTGCGTTGCCGGCCTTTTAAGAATTGGTACGCTCTTTTCTTGAAGGACCCTAAGTCGAATTGGTTCGGAAATACCTCAATGCATGTAATGCTTCAACAAATCACGAGTACATAGGATTTTTATAGATCTTTAATTGTATAATATAACACATTAATTTCTAAGTACAGCTGAAGGTGTTGGGAAAAACAGAGTGATGTCATTCTCGGACTTCATGCAATATGATATGAACAAGAAAATAATAATAAATGTGCTGCTGCCTCCACTTTCGAGTTGCTGTCTAGTAAAAACCTACAAGGTATTTGGTCCTAATTTATTAGGTAACGAAAATTCCATTTCGTAGTCGGTAAAAAAATACGAAATACATATATATTATATGTATATACAAGTAGCGTTACAGTGTTAACTAAATTCCTTCACGAATACGACATATATTTTTGTGTATATTAAGATTCGTAAAACTTTTATACCTATTAGTGATAAGGGAGGCACACAAATTTATATCATGTTTTTGGATACAGATTTCTTATTTTGGCATTAAAAAGTATAAATCTAACTTAAATCACCATTCGAAATATACAGCTAGGGAGATGTCGAGCATTTTAGTACATGATTTGCTCGTATTTTGTATTGATAGATAGCACAAAGTTTTCTTAATGAATTTTGTACGATGTTCGTACGATGCTAAATCGATACTAAATCGCTCGTGTCTTGAAAAGTTGGAGTCCTAGATGTCTGCCTTATTGATTTTTTCATTTTCACAAGGTTTCGAAACATAGGGCAGACACAAGCAAATTATTTAATATACGGTCTGTTTTTTTTAATTTATAAGGGTGTGTCAATTGACAACGCAGCGCTACCGTGGTTTCAGACGTGCTCCTTAATATTCCTTATCGTATAATTATCGCTACTAAAAAAGTCTGCCACGTGATCAAATCATATAGATATTTTGCTCGTTGGCTCCCAAGCTAATAGGAAAATAACATATTAATATATGAAGGCTAAAAAATCTACCACAGTACCAAATCTCAACGCGTAATAGTTATTCCAAAATTAAACTTTTTAAATTTCTTTTCAATTTTTTTATCCAATTTATTGCATTACGTTTTTTCACTTACTAATACAGTATGTAGTGGTAAAGACAATAAAATATTCAGTCCAAAATATAACCCCTTATAAATCTTTGTATAAATTTAATTAATAATTTGCAGATTATGGCTCGGAGTCAAAATGCCCACGCTATTGTAAACGCTGGTTTTATGTTTCAATTGCATAGGAATTCACAAGTACTCGAAAAGGCTACAATTGTGTACGGTGGTATATCACATACATTTATCCATGCATCTAAAACCGAACAGGCTTTAGTAGCTAAAGATCTCTTTACTAATGAAACATTAGAATTGGCTTTAAAATCATTATTGGAGGAGGTGAATCCCGAAATAATAGAACCAGAGCCATCTGTTGGCTATCGAAAGATGTTAGCTATAAGTCTTTTTTACAAAGCTTTATTAAGCTTATGCCCCCAGGATAAGATAAATCCTGTATACAAATCAGGTGGGGACGTTTTTAAGCGAGAAGTTTCCAAAGGAAGTCAATATTATGATAGTGATCAGTCAGTTTGGCCATTGAATAAACCGGTGCCGAAGATCGAAGCGTTATTGCAGTGTAGTGGGGAATTGGTCTATGCAAACGCTTTACGAAAGCAAACAAATGAAGTGTATGCTGCATTTGTTACTGCTGATGTTACTCCGGGGAGTATTATTAACGATTTTGATACAACTGAAGCTTTTGTAAGTATTCATTTATAAATAAAATAATTTTTAAAATTAAAATCAATATGTTAATTGCTTAAGGGACCAGTGTTGATCTAGTGGCTTCAGCGTGCGACTCTCATCCCTGAGGTCGTAGGTTCGATCCCCGGCTATGCACCAATGGAATTTCTTTCTATGTGCGCATTTAACATTCGCTCGAACGGTGAAGGACAACATCGTGAGGAAACTGGCTTGCCTTAGACCCAAAAAGTCTACGGCGTGCGTGAGGCACTGAAGGTTGATCACCGACTTGCCTGTTAGATTACCAAATGATCATGAAACAGAAACAGAAATCTGAGGCCCAGACAAGGTTGCAGCGCCATTGATTTATTTTTTATAAATTGCTTTAGAATCTACAAAATATTTAAGGCAAAAAGTTTCATTTTATCAACATCAATAACAATTAAATATCCTTTTTCACTTTCAGAAATTACCAGGTGTTACTGCGTTCTATACACCAAAGGATATTCCTGGTGAAAATACGTTCACGCCAAAAAACGTGCCCCTAATTGCAGTTGATGAAGAAATTTTGTGTTCTGGAAAAGTCATGTTTCACGGACAACCAGCTGCTATAATAGTAGCAAGCAGAGAAAAAACAGCTTTAAAAGCGGCGAAGCTTGTTAAAATCAATTACAAAACAATAAATAAAAACAGACCATTATTATCAGTAGATGATGTTATGAATTCACCAGAGAAGAGCACAAGGGTCATAAAAAATCAAACTATCGAGCCCACAGATTTAGGAAATGACGTCAAAAAGGAAATAAAGGGCGAATTCAAAATGGCCGATCAGTATCATTTTTATATAGAACCACAGACATGTATAGCAAAGCCTACCGATTATGGCATGGAAGTATATTCTTCTACGCAATGGTTAGACCTCACAAATATCGCTGTAGCTCAAACCTTAAAAGTTCCTGTTAACAGGTATTTTTATTTTACTATTATTATTTAAGCTTTATAAATGAATCCATACAAAAATTGGTTAGTTAACATGTTGTTGTTAATGTGAGTATTAATTGTGTTAGTATAAGTTGTAAAACATTAAGTTACTTTTCTTTAATAGTCTAGTCCCTTTAGGGTAAAAGCCTCCTCCATATTTTTCCATTTCTCTTTTTTTTCTCTGATTTTTCTCAAAGCATTATTCAGATCAAATTGTCTTGTTTTGATCTATTTTTGTTTAGATTTTATAAAAAAATCCTTTAAATATCTTTTAAATTGACGTTCAACTTGAATACTGTATGTTTGATGACTGTTACAAGCTTTAATTACTTAGATAGATTAAAGGGAATGTCAATTTATTTCATTATTTTATTGACTGACTGTTCTCTTGCTGACCACAACTGATATAAAGCACTATATTGCCGTTGTTATATTGACTTTAAATATAATTAAAAATGATTATATGCAAACGGAGGCCAATAATTATATCGTTCGTTTAGTTTCATCATCGGACGCCGAGGCAGAATACGAAATTCCATCCGTATCACCTCGATGTCCGTCTTTTCACAACTGCGTGTTGTTTAAGACAACTTTTGCCGCGCACGCCACAGCTGCCCACTGAAGTATTTTCGAACCAAGTCAACTTAGGGTGCTTTAAGAAAAGAGCACACCAATTCTAAAAATTCAGCAGCGAGCCCTCTAGTAGTGTGTTAATGGGTGGCGGTATCACTTAACAGCAGGCGAGCCAACTGCCCGTTTGCTCCCTGTTCCATAAAAATAAAAAATATATTTACTATTTTATTACACGTATTTCAGTATAAATGTTATTGTTCAAAAAGTGGGTGGAGCTTATGGTGGTAAAATCACTCGCGCGACACAAGTCGCATGCGCAGCAGCTCTAGTTGCACATTTGCAAGGGAACACTTGCAGAATGATCCTGCCGTTGCAAATAAATATGAAATCCATCGGAAAGAGATTTCCCACACAAAATTCATTCGAGGTGCCGACTTTTCATATTTATGAATAATGTTGTATTTTAAATAGTCAATAATTTGGTTTAGTACCAAATAGATTAAATTAATGGCATTTTAAAAGGAAAAAAAACATATAAATTAATACCAATTTTTATCTAAATATTGGTATTAATTTATATGTGATGTAGGGAAAGGTTTATTTATTTAAGAAAGTCTAATTCACAAACACGTCCGGGGTTTAGCTGTAATTGGGTATCATGAATATTGATAATCATATTTGCTAGACTGTATAGTGTATATACTGTGCTTTTGAATTATTGCGATCACACCAAGACTTTATATTACTTTTATTTAAGTGAAGTTTGTTCGTAGGTTGGAGTTGATGATAACGGACTGATTCAATACCTTAAAAACACATTTTATCAAGACAAAGGACATTCAATTAATGAAATCCTCTTCCCGTTAACAATCGCCCATTCGTTTAGTTGTTATGATACAAAACGGTGGGGAATTGAGGCTAATACAGTGCTGACTGATAAACCATCGAACACTTGGTGCAGAGGACCAGGTAATCTTTAATTTTCTTACTCCATACTTCGATTACTTCCTACTGCAAAGTAATTGATCATCCAACCCTTCCCTAAGATTATCATTCTAGTGCGTACAAATGTCTAAACCATGGAAACCTGTATCCTTAGTTTAGTAATTAGCTTAGTCTTAGCTTTATGTTTTTCTTTATCATACAGTATTTCGGTTTCAATTATTGTTCAGTTACTATTTCATTAAACCATTGGAAGAGCGGAGTACCCTGATGCACAGGTCTCCCTAGTCTTAGTTCAGGTGCTCCAATATCTGCTAAAATGTAACATAGATAAAATATATAGGATTTCTAACGCTGCCCATAGACGGACCGCATGTTGCAGTCGATACCGACTGCTCTAAGCGGTCGCCGCACGGCGAACTGCAGTTTCCATACTAAATTCATATCCGCCATACACGGACCGCACGACCAGTTTTTGAGCGGTCGGAGCAGTCGCTCTGCGGTCGAGTTTTGCCGTGCGGTCGACTGCTTAGAGCTGCCGGACCCACCATACACGGACCGCTACAAGCGGTCCATCTATGGCCCGCTTAACAGCTTTCTAGGTATCGAATGAAAATAAGTTTCAGTTGTATTTTCTATATTTAAACAAGAATAACTCTTTGTAAAACAAATTGTTAATGGAGGTGGGAGTCCTTTAAACAAAGGATTTGTTTTCAGTGTCTTTCACATTAGGCGAGTTGTTTTAAATCTGACGTACGTACGATATATAAAAGTAAATTTTGTTTAAAAAAATAAAATTTAGGTTCCACCGAAGGCGTAGCCATGATCGAAAACATAATGGAGAAAATTGCTTTCGAAACGGGAAAAGATCCTACGCAGGTACGAATTGCAAATATGGCCAAAGAAAACAATCCGCTTATCGATATGATAGCCCAGTTAAAAACAGATTCAGACTATGACAGCCGTTTGCAGAAAACAACCGCATTTAATGAACAAAATCGATGGAGAAAGAGAGCCATCAAGATTCTGCCAATGCGATATAATGTAACATATTTTGGGAATTACAATTCGATTGTTTCCATCTATCACGGTGATGGCAGTGTTGTTATAATGCACGGAGGCATAGAAATGGGACAAGGCCTAAACACTAAAGTTGCCCAAGTATGCGCATATACATTAGGTATTCCTTTAGAGAAAATCAGTGTTAAAGCTTCAACAAGCTTCACATCCCCTAACACAATGACAACTGGAGGTAGTATTGGTAGTGAGTGCGTGTCATTTGCGACAAAGAAAGCTTGTGATATATTACTTGATAGGCTTGCACCAATAAAGGGAAAGGGTGATATGCCATGGCAGGATTTGATAACTGAAGCTTTTAAAAAGGAAATAGATTTGCAAGCGTCTTACATGTACTCTGCTATGAATGATGATGTTAAGCCGTATTTAATATACGCAGTGTGTGCCTTGGAAGTCGAAGTAGACATCCTTACAGGAAACCATAATATAATCAGAGTAGATTTACTTGAAGACACCGGTCGAAGTCTGAGTCCATTAATTGACATAACTCAGGTAAGTTTTACTAATCTAGTTTCAAATGAGCATTAAAATATTCAACGTAGCCACGATTCTATGAATAATTGAGTACATATTGTAAGTTAGAGGAACTTTAATTAGATATTAGTTATTAATGTATTCCTCGGCACTTTTAGGTCTGTGGGTTTTTATCGCAAGGCTGCTTTATTTTATAATATACTAGCTGACAGTGTAATAATATCGTGTTAACTTTAGTTAAACTTAATTGAGGATTTCATTAAGGTATAATACATGATATTATACATTAATACAACTAGGTTTGCCAAATTCGCATATGCTCTGACATAATTATGTTTGATTGACTTGACTTTCTTATTCAACAGATGGCACCACATGCTGTTTGCATTCGAAAATTTATTTATTTATTTTTGTTTTAATAACTTATCGATCTGGGGGAAAAAAACCCCGCCAAAAATCGCCAAAATATCAGCAGTCCACATCTTGATTTAAAAGTTGTTATATATTTGATGATTTGATTGACTTTGACTGTTCTTATTTCATCAACAATGGCACACTAGAGAAACTAATTTGAATTTTGTGATAAAGTTTTAATAATATTTATTAAAAGGTCCGGGGTATTATGTATTGGAATGCTCGACAAATTATATTGAAGTATGTACCTACCTATGTGTTTTAATTGTTTTATCATATAATTATATTGCCTTTAGGTAAAGCTAACTATTTAAATATTGCTTTTCAGGGTCAGAATTCGACAAGTGCAAAGAAAAAATTTTGCATGAAGGGGACGTTCGAATTCAAATTTTCCTTTTGAGACCTGTTGCTGGGGGAGCCTCCATGGAAAGGGCCGGGGTTTTTTGCCCTGCGAAGACTTAATAAATTTATGTTATGTCAATAGAAAAACCCTTTACGATAGTTTTCTTAATAACAAGTAGATCGTCATCTTTTTTATTTTTAAGGTTGTTTTTTTTTTTTTTTTTTTTTTTTTTCCAAAACCCCCAAAAAAATTTTTTTTGTTCTTTTTTTTTTGGTTGTATTCTGTTGATTTGTTTGATATTTTATTTACTATGTTGTCACCTTGGCAACTACTTTTTGCTGAATATTCCTAAATTTCCTTTATGTTTTTCAGGTACGTACTATGTTTTTTTTTTTTTAAAATCCACCAAAATAAAAGATGTATAACTATTACATCAGGACAGCCTGATCTTGATTTAAAAGTTGTTAACTGTAACATATATATATATTGAGATATTTTATCTGAGCGTTCGCGACTTGTACTCTGTGAGAAATCATCAGTAGGTTACCTTGAATATCACTTGATCATACCTGGTCAGTGACAGGTTTGCAAAGATAGGGCGAACCTAGCAAACGCTTTTATAAGATTTTTATACAAAAATAAGCTTTAATTATTGTAGGTGAATAAATAAATAAGTGACGGTTAGGTGTAACCAAGGTAACGCGGTCAATTTCCAATTATATTGACTCTACCGATAGGGATTTGATAACAAATAAAAATATGAAAAATTAAGAAGCCTTCCGTTCGATGTTATTACTTCTGGAAAAAGCCAGTTAACATTGATTATATATACTCCACCCTGATAAAATTTTCCTTTGTCACGAGAATAAAGGAAAATTCCTATAACAGGAAGTTTATATAAACAGTTCCATATAAGTAATTATTTTAATGTAATTAGACTGTAGTACATCTAAGGACAAATAAAATATATGATTTAATGAAATACAATTATTTATATTACAGCACAAGATGATAATTTAACCTAGCATATAAATACAAAAAAAAACAATGAAAACAATAACTAACCTTAAAATATAAAAACTAAAATATATTATTAAAAGGAGTCCCTTTAGGCAAGGTTCCGAAGATACTGGCAGCGTTTCCCCTTTGAATAGCTAGAATAAATCTTTGTCCGAGATAGCTGCCAGCTCTTCGGTTTCCTGTAATGTCGACTAACCTTTTTGGCTTTCTTTAAAAAGCCTTATAGCGCTAGGACCCCACGGACCAAGGGTCTCGACATCGAATGGGACAAAATCATATTCGAAGCCAAGACCCCTCCCTGTATTTGCAGGCTTTAGCTTTTTCAGCCACATCACAAGCCGCACCAGCTATTTTGTTGGTCCCATGTAGATGGGAAGGGGCCAGTGTTTCTGAACAGGTTGCATCCTATACCAGCACCCGGCCCATCTTCTCTTGCCATCGTCTCTAGATGTAGTAGTTAGATAACAGGCTCTTATTGTATATGGTTAATAAAAGTGTGGAAATATTTTACCTCAGATAGAAGGAGCATTTGTAATGGGTCTAGGATATTGGACATCCGAAAAACTAGTATATGACACAAACAACGGAAGACTGTTGACTGATGGTACGTGGACCTATAAACCACCAGGCCTCAAAGATATACCAGCTGACATGAGAATATATTTCTCAAAAAACTCCCGGAACGAATTCGGAGTTTTACAGTCTAAAGGTAACTAAAACACGAGTCTTTACTTCAGATTACACATTTTGCTTTTAAATTCACTTTTCTTTGGGATATGGTAATCACCCATTTTTGATCAACCGTTATAATTTTTTGCGTAGATCCGATATCATCACAATTGACTCTATTGGTTCTCTCAGAATAAACAGTTACACGTTTGACCATTAGAACAACACTGCTGTGCGTTCACAACTAAGCGATAAATTTTTAATTAATTTTAGCCACTGGTGAGCCGGCCCTGTGCCTAGCAACGATCATTATACATGCGCTCCGTGAAGCGGTGCGGTCCGCGCGTTTAGACGCCGGATATCCAGATCAATGGTTTCAAATTGGTACGTATTTCAATGTTGAATTATTGGTGCACAATAATTTTGATATTAAATTCTAATAAAGCCTTCCTGGATGAAGCTTGCCATATTCGTAAGTAATAAAAATAACTTAAAAAATCGGTTGTCTGTAAAGTCGGTTTACTGACGATAGTTGAACGTGACAACTTCATAAGAAAATACTGAAAACACTGCACTTCATACTTGACAAAAACATGTAAATGTATATTTGTATAGCAGCTCTCCACGTGGACGCATCGTTCACTTAAGTAGGAGAATGACAGATGATGTCGAACGCTGCCGAACGCGGAGACCGATCGTGCCTCTTTGTCGCTCGTTCCACGCTCTCGCTGCACTTCTAGCCTTAAATGGAACGCCTCAGAGCGAGGTAACGCCGCATGAGTCATGTTTTTTCGTGCGTGCAGCCGCCTCCATCGAATTATAAGACGTTGTCACGTCAAAAATTGAGTTAATTTTAATGCGATTTGTACAGCCTAATGGGGTAGACACACTTCTGTGCCTTGGGTTGCTTTAGGCTAGGTAAATTTGTGTTACTAAACAATAATTATTTCGCTGTTAATCAAACCTAGAACCTCCGGATGAGACGGCAGTTAAGATTTACTTTTTAGTTGCTAAAATGACAAAGCTCTCATGCTTAAGATTCCAATGAAACTCTATATTATAAGATACTTATAGACTCTGTAGAAATAAAAGCGAAAGGTAACGAAATATTTTCTATATTTCGCTGGACACGTTAGATTATATTTCAAATAGAGCAGAGTGGTTGTTTAATTAGTAGTCGTCTGGTAAAAGCGGTTTAAAAAGGTCTAAGAGCTCTCGAAAGTTTGTTTGAAAGAACAAGTACTTTTTATTTTCAATGCTATGTGAGAGAAGTAGCAAGGGGCAACAGGGTATATCTTTTAAAACTCTTCTACATAAACATTTCTTAACCATATGCTATCCTGCTCAATCGTGACTTTTGAAATTCTTGTATTTCTTATTCTTTTGTACTGCATCGCAATTCATGAATCCGTGAGATGAGTTTTTAGTTTTTGGTTATTTTTTTGGAAGAGATCGCTTGTTAGCGATAAAGCCGCCCATTGCATCCTTTATAATTTTTATGTATTATTTTATTGTTATATGTATGTTTTTCTATAAACGTAACGAAGTGTAAATAAATATATTACCTTAAAATTATTTTTCTAATATAAAAGATAGGTACGGGCAGTGATCGCCATGTATTTGACGTTCTTATTATTGCGACGAAATTATTTTCTTGTGAAATTATATTAAATTTTGTATTTTTGTAAGGGCTTTGGAATGAAAAATGAATTGTATTAAAAGTGGCGAGTTTCCCGATCTAATGAAACATAGTAAAGTTATTCCTTTATTTAAAGCAGGTAGTATGTCCGACCCCAGTAACTTTAGACCAATTTCCGTACTACCTACTTGTAGTAAAATATTTGAAAAAATTATATTAAATCAACTGGTAAGTCATTTTAACGTAAACAAATTATTACATAATAATCAGTTCGGTTTTACCAAGGGTCGCTCGACAGCCGATGCCGGTGTTGAGTTATATAGATATATAGTTAAGGCTTGGGAGGAGTCGCATGACGCTTTAGGTGTTTTCTGCGACTTATCCAAAGCATTTGATTGTGTCCAACACGAGACCTTAATCGGGAAACTCCGCCACTATGGCATCAAGAATACCGCACTGAATCTTCTGACTTCCTATTTACACGGAAGAACTCAGAAGGTTGAAGTGAATGGTAAGAGGTCCTCTGGGTCGGCAGTAGATATGGGGGTACCACAGGGCTCAATTCTTGGCCCTTTCCTCTTTCTTGTTTATATAAATGATCTACCTTTCATGGTAGAGAGAAAACATCAGATAGTTTTGTTTGCTGATGACACGTCCTTGATTTTTAAAATCAAACGACAAATAACAAATTTTGACGATGTGAACAATGCTCTGTCTTCGATTGTCCATTGGTTTAGTATGAATAACCTTCTACTTAATGCAAAAAAGACAAAATGCATTAAATTTTGTGCAAAAAATGCAAGGGTTATGGATACTAGACCAATTATAAACGGTGAGGAATTGAATCTGGATGATACAACTGTATTTCTCGGAATCACCATGGATTCAAAACTTCAGTGGTCCCCTCATATTAACGGATTGGCGAAGAGACTTAGTTCTGCAGCCTACGCGGTTAAAAAAATTCGCTCACTAACTGATGTCGATACAGCTAGACTTGTTTATTTTAGTAACTTTCATAGCTTAATGACTTATGGCTTATTATTATGGGGTCATGCTGCTGATGTCGAAACTATTTTCATCCTGCAGAAGAGGGCTATTCGTGCAATCTATAATTTAAAATGTAGGGAATCTCTTAGAGATAAATTCAAGGAAATTAATATACTTACCTTTCCCTCGCAATATATTTATGAAAATATTATGTATGTATACAAAAATAGTGATAAGTTTACTAGAATAGAACATACGCACAATGTTAATACACGGAACAAACGCAGGCTGCAATTTCCCCGTACTAGACTATCTAAAGTTAGTAATTCTTTTTTGGGGAAAGGGATACTCTTCTTTAATAAAATCCCAGAGGCTCTTTTATCACTGCCTTTCAATAAATTTAAGAAATGTATTAAAGAAAAGCTGTGTACAAAGGCTTACTATAAAGTCAACGATTATCTAGTTGATAAAAGGGCCTGGGACTAGTGCTAGACAGGCTACTTCTCTCCATTTTGCGATATTTGTTTTAAATAAGTGTTGTTTGATGATTTGCTGTTTTAAAAGAGTACCGAGAGTTTTTTACGCCGGCTTTTTCTCTCGGCCTACACCCTCTGTCTTCTTTGCCGATGAGTAGGGATGCCTTCAAATTTAATGACGTGGAATAAGTGATACATGTATCTTATGTTCCATAGTAAACATATTTTATTTTATTTTTTATTTTAATGCCATCAAATAAGGTGTGCACCGATAATAATAGAAAAAAAATATTTAAGTGGTGAAAATTATCACTAAAAAGGCTTCGTAGAACATGGCCAACTTAATTTGACCGCTCATTGGTCTAGTGGTTAGTACCCCTGACTGCGAATCCATGGGTCCCGGGTTCGATCCCCGGCTGAGACAAACATCGATGTGATGAGCATTTGGTGTTGTGCTTAGGTCTTGTGCTAGGTGTTTAAATATGTATTTATATGTCTATCTATATATAATATGTATGTATATCCGTTGCCTAGTACCCATAATACAAGCTTCACAAGCTTAGCATGGGACTAGGTCAATTGGTGTGAATTGTCCAATCATAAAAAGTAAATTAATTAAGTTAATGTAAAGATTTAATTTAGTTTTATTTCAGGCTTTTTTATAGTCGTATACAACTCATTTGTTTTATTTTACATAATTAGCCCATAATACGTCTTAAAGACGAAGTACACACAAAATGTATTCTTTTGTTTTCAGAAAATCCTTGCACAGTTGAAAACATTTTCATGGCAGTCGGACATAAAATCGAACACTTCAAATTAAAATAGAGGTTCTGCTTTAAAAAAAATTACTATAGATGCCGATTCATTATTGAAGAAATAAAGTACAAATAACATTTAATTTGAATACAAAACATAATATTCTAATTACGTTTATTTGGAGTCGGTGTGTTTATTTCAATCAGGATTTATGGATGTTTATCTTAATTTAAACGTTATTTTAATTAAAAATTATATACAACAAAAAAATTGTTTCAATTCCATAATTCTAATAATAAAGTGGTTAATGTTTTAGCTAACCGCCTTACCGATCAACACCTCTCAACTTAATAGACATCAAACTTAATATAAAAGCTACTAAGGACCTATCTGGTCGCCAAACTCCAAAAAAGTACATTGTTTCTTTCCATTTTTCGCCATCATTGCTTGAAGTGGGGAGAACGGAAAACATATATGGTGGAGTTGAGTTGTTTATGTATCCATTTTGAAAGATGGATACACGATTTAAATAACTTCGCTTGATAGAAAAAAAATAGAAACATAGCCAATTTTCTTAGTTTTTTCGAAAACGTTTTGACGAAATTGTATATAGAATATGATTTTAAAATTTACACGTTATATTTTATCGCAAGCCAAGTAACCATATCAGAAAAAAAATTGATAAAATTATATTAATTGTTACGGACCCACCGAGACACTGACACAGCAATTCGTGCTGGGATAGGGCCTTAAGAGACAATAATAATGAGATGACAGCAGTTCAAAAAACGATTTTAGACCTGGGTTTTTTTAGATTTATGTATCTGTTTCATGATCATTTGTTTATTTGTTTAACTACTTTAATTAAAATAAATCAGTTGCGCTAAAACCTTTATAGGTCTGGGCCTCAGATTTTTGTGCCTGCTTCATTGTCATTTGTCAATCTTATAGGAAAGTAGATGATTAACCTCCTGTACCTGACACACGCCATCGACTTCTTGGGTCTACGTTCTTTCGAGTCTACGTTCTACGAATGTTCAATGCGCACGTAGAAAGAAAGTCCATTGCTGCACAGCCGGGTATCGTACCTACTCACTCTGAAGCCACAAGGCCAATACTGCTCTACTTTAATTAAAGCACAATTTAACCGAAACAGTTCGTCTCTCATTTAATAATAATTATCTTTTTAATCAGTTGCGCAAATCGTTTTTATAAAATAAAATTTGCGTTTACACGGCTTCTTATACGGGTTTTCTTGTTTCGAATTTTTCATGACGCTTTGGAAACCAAGCTGCATTGTTTTATTTTAAGAAAGAAAACGTTTACCTTTTCTTTTTTAAATTAACAATTGACTGCCAAAATTTTATGTATAACACTGGTCTCATTATTTATTAAATAGCTTCGTATATTTAGCTTCATGTATCTGGAGGAAGGATGGTTTAATGTTCCTCCAACCTTAAGGAGGATACTCGAGTTGCTACTGGCCGAACCAGTTGCTACTGCCCGAAGGCCCCAGTGGCTTAAGGCGAGTTATATATATCTTTAGCGGCCGGAATAACTTTGTTAGGGCGTTTCAGGGTACGACGTTGTCGCCGTGATTTGTAAGCGAATATTGTAGAAGTCGCTACAAAGAAAATAGAAAATAGTTTATTTTTTCTTTTTTTTATGTAACAGGAGGCAAACGGGCAGGAGGCTCGCATGCTGTTAAGTGATAGCGCCACCCATGGACACTCACATTGCCAGGAGGCTCGCAAGTGCGTTGCCGGCCTTAAGCCAAATTAAGACATATAACCAATTTGTTTTATTTTCATATGTACGTATATATTAACTATTAAACTTTATGAAGGTTAAAATGTGTATATGTCACTGTATTGTTGGTGTTGCTAATTATTTACTATGTAACGGATGAGTTTATATTATGGTAAATTGTTTTCGTTCATATTTTTTTTATAAATTGTCTCTCCACAGAATTTAACATTACGCTCTATCCTAACTAAAGACTTATAAGTGATTTAAAACTAACCTAATTTACAACCAAAAAAAAACCACTGTTCTTGTGCACTTTTTATATCCACTTACCACTGTTTAGCACTGCCTTGCGATTCTGTAACTGACTTTTCGAACTCACACAGCGGTTTTCACAGCGGCGGTCGCGCTCAAATCAGTCGTAAAGCAGTGATTTGGCATTCTGATAAGGAGGGCTTGTAGTTTATTGGTAGTGAGTTCGAAAAGTGAGTTACAGAATCGCAAGGCTGAAGATTAACGTACACTTACTAATTCGAATGGTTTTGTCCTTTTCAACTACCTTGTCTTCTCACTATACCCACGGTGTCAAGAAATAAGCTTATCTACTATATAAAAATAAGTCGGGTTTTCCTTCCTGACGCTATAACTCCAGAACGCACGAACCGATTTCCACGGTTTTGCATTCGTTGGAAAGGTTTCGGGCTCCGTGAGGTTTATAGCAAAGAAAATTCAGGAAAAATTTCAACAGAAAAGCGGGATCACCAAACGAAATGTTCCATAAAACGAAGCCATCTGGTGGCGAAACGGAGTTCGCCGAGTTTGCTAGTTATTTATATTTATTATTATACAATAACAATTTAACGGATATTACCGTAATATAACTTGACGTTATAAGTGATTTTCAGGAATCATAGTCAGAGACTTTCTAATCCGTCAACGTTTATTCAGTTTGCAATCATTACCATTAGAGGCTTTCACGCCTCAGACCTAAATGTGTCAAAGTCAAAGGTATGATGATCAAATTCTTGAGATCAGAAGCGCTGGCAAGCATCGCTTTGAATTGGGAATTATTAAAATCGATCGGAGATACTAATATCGTTTCAATCAAGATTATGACCTTTTTATCTATTAAAATTATTGAATTCGCCCAAGGAACTAAACGACCACAAAAAATATTTAAATTATATAGCCATCTATTCTATTTTTGCTTTTTATTTTTGATTATTTTAATTTATTTATCATTTAAAATTTATATAAATACATTGAAATTATTAATTATGATTGGAATTTAAATTTGAGGATTATGTAATAATTTATCATATGATATACTTGTTTAATATATTATCCATTATGGAAATAAAGACGCCATAATAATAATAATAATATATTTTTGCTACGTTATGTTTTTAAAATAATGATGTTGAGATTCGTTTTCATATTTAAAAATATTCAGACTGCAACAATTATGGCCAACAATGTGGAAAATTATATGTATTAAAAACAATGCATATTTCTTACTATTTACTGTCTAAAGCGATCCGCTCCTAAAATATCAACATCTGTGTGGGCTCTGTTCATTTAAATATAAAAATTCGAATCCAAATACTTTTGAAAGCCACTCAAACGAACAATACTGTGCCAAATACTGCTACTTAGTAGCTTTTATCCCAAAATCTCTTGTAGTATTTGTTTTTGAATCAGCCTTAGAATATAAACAAGTTTTGAGTTCATGATAGAATATTATGGAGAACAAGATGCTTGTTTATTTATATACTCAGACTGAAAAATATTTGTATGCAATTATGATTTAGTTCTCTTAATATATGAGTAGGGATGATGAGGAAACTTTGGGAACGTGCGGTGCTAAAACTTAACGTTGATGTGGAGATTGAAATCGCAGATACAATTTTAGAGTGACGCGAGTTTCAGTCGAAAGCCGTTTTATAGGAAAGTTCAGAAACAGAATTATCTTACTGATTTGCAGTAGGTAAAGAACTATACCAAGTTTAATAACCAAGTCTGAGAACCATCTTAGGCACACATTTATTCTTAAAAAGCCTGCAACGCACTCGCGAGCTCTCTGGCATTATGAGTGTCACTTAACATCAGATGAGCTTCATTGATCCTGCCCGTTTGGCCCCTGTTCAATAAATAAAAATAAAGGTCACAATAAACATTATACTATATCTAAATAAGTAGATAGCACCAGTATAACCCTAACAAATTAATACAATTTCTTATAATCAATAACTTAAAGTAAAGAAAATATAGCATGGCCGACATATTTTGGGCAATCTTATAAAAATTACCTTCGCAAAATCAACTTACATAACTACAAATTTATGTGAAAGCGCAAGGGAAATCTGGAGTTAGACAATTATGCCATAAAATATACGCAAAAATAGCAATAAAATTGGACTTTTGGGAGTATACAATCAATAAATCGTGATTAAGTTTTTGTTGAATACTATCGGGGCACGCGATGTATTTAATCAGCTACATATTTACTTTTCGAACATTGACGAAGTGGTCTAAGTAAAAACTTGCGGTGTTATTTTTACTTAAAAATCTAAAACTTTTGAATTTTCTCACAGAGAAGGTTTAGTAATAATTGTTGAGTTACTATTATTTACATTACGGTAGATCAAATGGTAAAATTTTGTATATTTAACGATGAGTTAATACTGATTTATCAAACAGTAGATCAGCAAAAGTCTTATGAACTTAAAATAAATACTAATACTATATAATTCTTAAAGAAAAATAAAAGGTTTCCGTTCAGTTTTGTAATTTAATACAAATAAAGAACGGACCGTATCTCCCTCGTTCTGGTTTCTTCTATATATGTTTGCCATAGTCATTTTATATGATGATTTGATATTTTAAAAGAGTACCGAGAGTTTTTACGCCGGCTTTTTCTCTCTGTCTTCTTTGCCGATGAGTAGGAATTTGTGTGGTACCTGTATCTTATATTCCAAAATAAACCTATTTTATTATTACGAGTATAAAATGAGTGAAAAATAAAACCTAATATCTCTAAAAACCTATATTCGTTCATAACCAAAAAGGAAAAAAGTCAGTTCAAAGCAGATCCGACAAGCTTTTACGTAAAAATTAAATGTTTCAATCCAGATTAAAAATGATAAATCCGCTAGATTTTTAAATCCTTTACTCACGTTTTTAACAATGTGACAGGCAACAGGTAATCGCTCATATATAAAGGAAAAGCTCTGGGTGGTTTAGTAGGACGCCGGTCGCGTTCAGGACCTGACGCGTACTGAAAATAATTAAACAATTTACGTGAGTGAAGTGAATTGGTTTTT